ATTGCAGAGATTCTTTTCACTTTTCCAGTGGCCTTGTTTTCATCAAGGAGCCTGAGGCCCTCTGTCTGTTGTTCACTTCTGCAGCTCAGGACAATGGCTTTTATGTCCCCCTGTGCCTCTGCAGTGTGGAACCAAGTAGCTGCACAGCCAGAAGGCCAGAGGCAGGGTGGGGGGGCTGTTGTTGGTGGCACCTGCGAGGTCAAGCTGGCGACTGGTGGGCATGCCCGGGCCCCCCCGGGGGGGTCCTCCTCACCCTGTCTTAATCTCAAGCCTGTCTTGGTCGCAAGCCTGTCTTGGTCGCAAACTAGTGGAGCAAGCCGGAGGAAGCAGGGTCCAGTCAGGCTGCAACCACTCGGCCCCACTTGGCCCTGCTCCTATCCAACAAATATTAATGAACATCTACTCTGTGCCAAGAACTGTGCTCAGCCCTTGGGCTGTAAAGGTGTGGAAGATATGGCTCCTGGTTTCTCGAAGTTGGCACCTCTCTAGGTGAGTGTTTCCACCTTAAGCCGTGGTGTAAATAGAATGATGCTTACAGGAAAAGAAATAGATGAGATATGGCTAAATAATTTTTAATAAGAGCTAGCATCAAGTTCCATAGCTATATGCAGCCATGTCCACCACAAGGACCTACCTATTTCAAAGTCTGAGCAGCTATGTTCACAGACCAAGACAGCTTTTCTCCCTTGACAGTGCTGGGTGGACACCACCAGTTTTGACCTTCATCTTCTTTTTGGTTCTTTGTTTCCATGACTACTGTCTTTCTGTGGATATAATTTCCTTTAGCTATTGACAACTGTGACCATTAATCATGATCGTCAACTAGACTGGATTAAGAAACACCTAGCAGAGTATTAAAACACACTTCTAGGTGTGTCTGCGGGGATGTTTCCAGAGATGATTAGCATGTAGGCCAGCAAACTGAGGGAGGAAGATCTACCCTGCTTGTAGGTGGCACCATCCACTTTATTTGCAACCAGATGGAATGAGAGGGGAAGAAGGAAGAAGTCTGCCTACATTTGAAAAGTACCATTCTGCTTGAGTAGGTTCTCCTTTTTCTATTTCCAGCGCCTATGGACATCAGACTCCTGCATCTTTGCATCTTTAAATTTTCAGTGTAGTCTCACACCAGAAACTCTCCAGGGTGCTTCCATGCTTTCAGTCATTGATTGGCACTGAATTCTTGCTGAATTCTTGATCCCTCTTGTTCTGGATTCCAGTTTATTGGACTGAAAATCTACTGGATCCTCTGGCTCTCTAGTGGCCAGATAGCTATCATGGACTATTTCACCTGAAATCTTGTAAACCTACCTAATAAATCCTCATGCCATATATATATACGTATATATATATATGTATATATATGTATGTATATATACACATACACACACACACACTTTTTGGGGGAGGGGTACCAGGGATCGAACTTGGGATCTTGCGCTTTCAAGACAGGTGGTGGAACCACTGAGCTAAATCCCGGGCCCACAATTTAATAAATTTTTTTTTGGTACCGGGTATCGAACTCAGGACCTTGTGCTTGTGAGGCAGGTGGCGGAACCACTGAGCTAAATCCCCAGCCCTTATTTAATAATTTTAACATTGTGAGATAATGTTCTATATGGCAGTGAGAGCATAATTTAAAGCTAATATTTATTTTTGTGACATACAAAGTCTCTCCAGAGTCCCAGTTTTGTCATTTAATGAGTATAAATTTAGATACTTCATTCATTTACTTCTCCAACCAAAAAATAATGTAAGGATAATTTATTATTTACTATGTTAGTTTAGGGTAAATATACGATTTTAGAAGATATTACAAGGGGGCCGGGGATTTAGCCCAGTGGTTCCGCCGCCTGCCCCGCAAGTGGAAGGACCCAAGTTCGGTCCCTGGTACCAAAAACAAAAACAAAACAAAACAAACAAACAAAACCCTAGAAGATATTACACAGCTGCCTATATTTTTAGACCTATATCTTAAGTAACAACTGATTGTTCTTCCTTTGACTTAAGTGAATAGAATATTATAATAGTATACAGTTCTGTTCTCTGTTACTATTTTGCAAGTGAAGTTCTTTCTATATATTAAACAGGATATTTAAGGCCAATTATAACTTTCAATAAAATGCCTAATTCATTAAACATTAATTGAATTTATTTTACTCTATAGAATTTTAAATATTTATAAATTATGATATTTTTATTGATTTTTAACTTTTTTGGATTTTTGAGATAGGTTCTTGCTGTGTAGTCTGAGGTGGCCTTGAACTCAAGATCTTGCTGCCTCAGCCTCCTGAGTACTAGGATGATAGGCATGTGCCACCATGCCTGGCTGTTTCTTTACGTTAACTTTACTATTTGATTAATGTGTAAGATAATTATTGATAAGTAGATGATCCTGGAAGGGGATCTAAGGATGGAGAGGGAAGAGGAAATAAAAAAGGACTAAGATGCAGTATGTATATGTACCAACTCCTTATGATAAATGTGTACATTATGTATTGCAAACATGTACTAAAAAAAAAGTAAATGATCCCCAAAACATCATAGGATAGAAATAATATTAAATTGGGAAATCAGAAGGCTATAGGTTGAATACTGTTTAAAATTATCTGACTCTGATATTCTGAATAGGCTTAGAATTAAGAGATTGACTAGATCAGGTTTTTTTTTTGGTACCAAGGATCGAACTTGAGTCCTTGTGCTTGCAAGGCAAGTGACGGAACCACTGAGCTAAATCCCCAGCCCTAGATCAGGTTTTTTAAGCCTCTTCTTCAACGCATTTTATTGTGTTTTAACTAGTGGAATCTCCCAAGGCATCTTACATAGAATCTGAATACATAAAACAAAAGCTATTAAAGTTGCTTACTTGACCTGCTGCGTGCTTCTAAAGATAATTTCTAAGAAATATACAAAACAGTTTGAAAACAGTTTGGCTAGCAATTCTCTGAAGTCCTCACTGGTTCTAGAATTAAACATATATAACTTTTGATTTATAACTCACATGTCTATAGTATTTGAGTCTGCTCTTCCTTCAAAATTGTGACCTCTGGTTTCTTTATATATATGTGTTTTTTGGAGGAAAGTTCTTATTTCAGTCACCCTTTGAAAAGGGTTCATCTAGGGGCCAGGGATTCAGCTCAGTGGCACCAAGCCTGCTTTGCAAGCGCAAGGTCCTGAGTTTGATCCTTGGTACAAAAAAAAAAAAAAGGGGGTTCATCTACTAATAGTACCATTGGCAAAATCATTTCTAATATTACGTGGTTTATGTTAAGAGATTCTTAAACTCTTTGTATAAAAAAATCTAACTAGTTTTTCAAGGTATTTATTTTTTACATACTTAATTCATAATAGATTTTACTTCATATTTTAAGTAAAAGAAATATATGGTAGAGCAATTTACTGAAGTGATTTTTCTGGCCTTTATTCCATTTAAGATGTTATTTTAAAAGTATGTTAATCAAAATCTTTTTCTTTTTGCTTTTTTTCCCTCCCTTTCTTCCTTTCTACTATCCAGGGATTCTACTTGAGAAATCCTCCTTTATAGAGTTAGGTAGAAGAAGGGGGTTTTGGTCTAATTCATTTGTATTGAAATAATTCTTACTTATTTAAAACAGAAATTAAAGAAGCACATAAAAGAAAAAGAATAATGAAAGAACGATTTAAACAGGAAGAAAATATTGCAAATGCAATGGTAATTTGGATCAATGAAATACTGCCCAATTGGGAAGTAATGTAAGTAAACAGACTTTTCCCTAAGTTTCCAGTTTTATATTTTTATTACTTTCCAGCATGTATCTTATGCTTTGGCTCAGTTAAAATCTCTATACTTATCTCTGTTTTTGTTTTTATAAATCCCTCAGGCTTTAATATGAACTTTCCTCACTATTCTCTATGCCTATCAAAAATCTTATCTGTTCTTTGAGACCCATGCAAAATGCTAATTGATTCATGAATCTTTCAGTTTCTTCAGTTACTATATTTTCTTAGTTCTAATATATCATTAATTGTAAGATTCACTATTGATGTAATGGCAGGTTTTTAAAAAGAACATATTAAATAGTATACATTCATTATAAGATGTATTTATCAATTGTTAAATGTTGAAGTTTTTTTGGGGGGGGTACCAGGGATTGAACTTGGGACTTTGCGCTTGCAAGGGACGTGCCGGAACCACTGAGCTAAGTCCCTGACCCATGTTGAAGTTTTTTTTTTCTTTATACCGGGGATCAAACTCGGGTCCTTGTGCTTGCAAGGCAGGCAGTGGAACCACTGAGCTAAATCCCTGGCCCCTGTTGAAGAATTTTTAATATGCCTCTGTCATCAAGGATCATGTTGTATATGATCTTTCCCTTTTGAAAATGTCTCACCATTGAAACTATTATATTTCCTGCCTTTAAATTTTTTGCTGTTTTTGTATATGGATGGAGGGTTGGGGATACCTCAGCAATGCCTGATGTAGGATGTACATTGACAATTCATTGAATATTGGTTGCATGACAGATACAGTAGGCCCCTTTATTTAATTTCACTTTCTGCAGTTTCAGTTACCTTGTGGTCATCTGAGGTCTGAAAATAGTAAATAGAAAATTCCAGAAATAAATAATTCATCAGTTTTAAGTTGTGTACCATTCTGAGAGAATGATGAAACCTTGTGCCATTCTGCTCTGTCCTAGTTATAAATTATCCCTTTTGACTAGCATATCCATGCTGTATCCACTGTGTCCCCATTATCTGCTTAATAGGGTTTCATTTTTCAGATCTACTGTCATGGCATTGCAGTGCTATGTCCAAATAACCCTTATTTTACTTAATAATGACCCCAAGCACACAAGTAGGGATGCTGGCAATTCAGACACTGTCCTTTAGGTAAAAAGACATTTTGAGAGACAGAGGGAGACCACATTCACATAACTTTTATTGCAGAGTATGTTGTTATAACTGTTCTTTTTATTACTGATTGCTATTGTTAATCTCACTATGTTTCATTTATAAATTCAGCTTTATCATTGGCATGTATGTGTAGGCAAAAAATGTAGTATCATTCAGTTTGTTACTAACCATAGTTTCAAGCATACACTGGAGGATTTGGAAGTATCCCCTGCATATAAGGGGCAGGGGGACTGCTATATTCTTTTAGGCTCTTTATGTAAGTAATTGCATTTTTTTCAACTTTTATAAGGTTATATGTATTTATTTTTTACTCAAACATTTATCTTTCAGGGAAGCTTAAGGTTAGAGAGGTTAAGTGATTTGCCCAAGGTTATACAATAGTGAATGGCTAAACTAGATTTGAACTCAAGTTTATCTGACTCTAAAGCCTAAATTCATTCGGCAGACTACTACACCTTAAAGCCTAATGCTTTAACCCAAAGTAGATTCATTGTGATTTAATATTTGATACTAGATTGGCAAAACATTTTTATGTCCATTTTATCCTTTGTTTTGGATAATTCTCCCCATAATTTTGATTCTTTCGTTGTGTAAGTGGCATCTATCAAAGGCAACTCCCTTTAAAGTATTATTGTCTCTGAAAAAAAAAATAAAGTATTATTGTCTCTGAGATAATTTATATTTTGTACGCTTTTCTTGCTTGTAAACATGAAAACCAGAGGGAAAACAAATGCATTATATACTTAACTCTGTGTTCTTAAAACTCATCTGGTCACTTGGTCATAGGTAAACCATCATGCAACTAGTATTTTTGATATAAAAAGTAACTTTCTCCTTTTCTCTCCTCCTTAATTCTAGGCGTAGTACAAGAAGAGTTCGAGAATTGTGGTGGCAGGGATTGCCCCCTAGTGTTCGTGGGAAAGTTTGGAGTCTAGCTGTAGGAAATGAACTAAATATCACTCCTGGTTTGTATTCTATGTTCAGTTACTCCCACACATACAAATAGCCATCTCCAGAGTTATAAAACAGATTAATAGAGTGCCATTTAAAAAGGCACTACAATATCATTGTAAGAGCATGCTTCACTCCCCTTATATGATTTAATAAGTTACTGTATTTCATATTACATAAATTGTTTTTTCTTTAGTTTATCACTATTGATAATAATCTTGACATCTAATATCCTGAGCATAGGTAATTTCAAACACTTCTGAGATTGTGTGTGGCATAAATGAGTAAGTATATGCCAGGAAAAAGAAAATAATCTCCTTGTGAAAAGACTTGTTCATTTCTCAAAAAATATAAATGAAGGGGAAGGGTAGGAAATTTATTTTCCTCCTTTTCTATTCAAGCTAATCTTTTTGGAGTTTTTTTTTTAATTTAGAAATTTTAATGTTTAGAAAACAGAAAAAGAAGTAAAGATATTCTCAAGGAGTTATTTTCTTGTTACTTAACAGAATTTAGAGTAATTTTAATGAATTAAAAATATTTAGGTAGAAGTAAGATCATATCAAATTGAGGAAAATAAGATAATTTAAAAAGATGCTAAATTGGTCTTAGTGATAATGTTAATGCTAGACAGTTAATATACTACACCACAAAGAGAGGTGGGTCTCTTAGTAATAAAAATAATATATAGTTGCTGTTACTTGTAAGGGTTTTCTTTTCATAGTTATAAAAAAATGCAAGCAGTGTCTTCCATCCAGACTTTTTTTGGGGGGGGTACTGGGAATCAAACTCAGGACCTTGCACTTGCAAGGTATGTGGTGGCACCACTGAGCTAAATCCCAGCCCCATCCAAATTCTTTTTTAAATTTGTTTGTTTTTTGAGACAGGGTCTCCCTATGTAGTTTAGTCTAGCCTTGAACTCCTGGAGATTCTTCTGCTTCAGCATCCCAAGTGCTGGGATTACAAACTCTTATTCTTGATCCTATTGTAAGAATTATTAGCAATTTGGTATATGATCTTCCAGACCTTTTTTCTATGTGCATAAAAAAGTGTGCATCTATATATGATAATTTTTATAAGGTTTTCCTACAAAAAAGGAGTTTATGTCATAAGATGATTCTGTGGCTAGCTTTTTTCATGATAATCTTTTGACTAGCTCATGCTAGTACCTACAAGTATCTGTCATAAGCATTATAGCTACATTGTATTCCAGAGTTTGGCTGTACTGTTTAGTTAATTATTTTCATTGTGCTAACCAAATCAAAGATATGTTAAAACAATATAAAAGATTTTTTTAACTCTCAAATTAAAACAGATTTAAGTGAATGAGACCAGATGGAATGTGACTAAAGATAATTTAAAAATATGTACCAAAAGTCTGAAAAAAACCCCTTTGACCTATTTATTTCAGTTCTAAGAATTTAAGGAAATAAGCAGGATTGGGTGCAGAAGCCTTTCTACAAGGATATTCATTGTAGCAATCAGCATTTATATAATTGGACAGAGTTATAACAAAAATCTAAATATTTAATCTTAAAAGTGATGCCAACTTTGGATATAATGATGTATGATTTTTTTTCTTTTTTGGAACTGAGGATTGAACTCAGGGCCTTCTCCCTGAGCTACATTCCCTGGCCTTTTAATTTTTTTGAGATAAGGTTTTTCTAAATTGATAAGTTGTTAAATTTCCTAGGCTGGGCTCAAACTTGTGATCCTTCTGTCTCAGCTTCCTAGATTGCTAAAATTAGAGATACGCATCACTCCTGGATAAAGATCGTGTGTTATTTTTAAAATTGACTTTCACATTTATTTTGTATAAATGTTATTTTAAAATACCTTTTTAATACATATATAAATAGTTTAGTAGAAAAATTAAAAGTTTTAATTTACTTTAGAAATTAGATTTTATATATCTTAACTGTTCTTTTCAAATAAAACAATTTTTTTTCTTCCCTTTGTGTTCTTGGAACAGATTCAAAGGAAATGTATTTAGGTTATAATCAGAACTTCCAGTTGGATTTTTTTTGGGGGGTGGGTACCAGGGATCGAACTCGAGTCCTTGCGCTTGCAAGGCAGGTGGCAGAATCACTGAGTTAAACCCTGGCCCAGTTGGATTTTTTTAACCCTTGATTGGTGGTATTTGAAATTTTGTTTTGTGTGCAGTTTTTTTTGTTGTTGGTAGCTTTGGCTTTAGAATATGAGGTACCTTGACAATTTAGACTTTAAAATATTGGTTAGGTAGGTATAAACACTTGTAATGCAGTAATCAAGTTTTTTTCCTTTTTCTTTTTTTCTTTTTTTGGTTGTTTTTAGCTGGGTGTGTGGGCACATCCCAATGCTCTGGGAGACTGAGGCAGGAAGATTATAAATTCAAGCCCAACCTGGGTAATTTAGCAGCTTAATAGAGCAACTTAGCAAGATTGTGTTACAAAATAAAAAACAAAAAGGGTGAGAGTTATAGCTTAGTGCAAAGGCCCTGGGTTCAGTAGCACATACATACACACCAAGTTTTTTTTTTTTAATTTTTTAATTTTGTGGAAAAAAAATGAAACATTTTCATGATCAAATAATAAGAGTAAGGGTTGGGGATTTAGCTCAGTGGTACTGCCACCTGCCTCGCAAGCACAAGGTCACGAGTTCGATCCCCGGTACCAAAAAAAAAAAAAGTACAAATAATAAGAGTAACAATAGTTATTACACTGTGTATTGTCTTCAAAGTAGTATAAGGCATAAACCAAAATGATTCTTACAAAAAAAAGAAACATAACACAAACTTTATTTTCAACAAATTAAGATAAACTTAGAGTATGAATGAAATAAATTAGCATATAATTTTTAAAACTGGGATATAAAATTTGAAGTTTTTGAATTTCTCCTTATGTCCTATTT